CATTATTTTTATGTATCTGGGGAAACTTTCTCTTGCACCATCATGCAATTGCGTTTTAACTTGATTGTCAGCCAAATTACGGATTGTAATTGTGTATGATGGTGTTGTTATGTGGTGTTAGTTTCCTCTTGTATGATGGTCGTCTGTCAGATCTGCTCATCGTTCCTTATGATTAAATGTCGCCTGTTTGTACAGTATTGATTGAACACTTGGCCACTCTTGTTTTGTAAATACAATATGCAAATCCGCTTCTGGGTTGTTGTCTTGGGGGTCAGAGTACAGGGCTGTTATTGTGCGTGTTGGTAATGAGGTTTTTTACAGGCATAACTTATTATCATCGTTACTTAATGGGCGATGTACACCTTCCCCTCTCTGCCCTCTTCACCTCTTTACCCTCCCTGAGTGCTTCTCTTCTCGGGTTGTTTAGTCTCATTTTCTCTGTGTTGAAGTTGTTTTATTAATGGCGGTAATTGTTTTTTCCTGTTTTTCATATTTCCTGGTGAGACAAGATTAAGACTGTTGGTCCTGTGTTAGAGTGTAGGGTGAGTGTCATTACTAACAGGAAATTATTATTAGGTCGTAGCACGAAAAACAGCGTCAGTGCGAGCAGTCAACAAAGCCTGGCGTGCCTTTCCACCTGTCATGACTCAGCTGTGAAAGTTCGCTCGCCTTCTGACTGCAGTGCTGTTCTGTCTCTGGTAATGTTTTTTTTTTTATTACAAACCTTCGGCAGTACACGCTATATCTATTTCCACAAAGGTTTAAAATCAGTAATACCCAGAAAAGTGTTACGCGACGTAAGTGTGCGCGACACTGTGTTACGTCTCTGTGTATCTGTATATCAACTGTTGTACGCCTGAGGCCACACACACTATTGTCTGCGCGGTTGTTCATAGATTTCGAATAGCCGCTAAACTTACGCAGGGAAACATTATACACTATTGTACATAATAGACTGAAAAGTTAGGATGAATATTATTAAGAGTTTGGTTAATTACTGCCTGAGGTCCCCTTGATGACCCACTTTATGACCTCTCCAACACTGAGGTGAATAAGCTCAGCTGTGAGTGCAGGAGGACCTACAGTGATCTGTTGCCTCAGGTATTACCTACATTAGCGCCACAACACTCTTAATATCTTACGACCACGAGGAAGCTAATCATCCAGTAAAGAACATCAGCCCAGAGTTGAGCCAAGTTCATGTTACTAACCGTTCTGTTTTCTCGGGAGATATTACCCTGATCCTGAAGACTTATAATTTATGCCGCTATAATAACGTAATCAGTGTTGAGGGGAATGCGAGCAACAGTGAGAACAACGTGGCCTCTAGGGAGACGGTCTGCTGCTCTCGAGGATGTGAACTGGACTTTGTCTTTTGAATTACAGTAACTTGCTTCTGCATATTCTCATATTTCTGTGTTTCTCTATGTCTTTAGTTTTTTACATATTTGCATTTTTTGTATGCGTCTTTCCATACATCACTGTGTTATCGTAAACTTATTGTATGTGATTTGATATTTTTATACCTGTACAGGACATCGGTCATTTTTTGTGCATTTAAATTTTTTCGTAACTTCTCCTCATATATATAAATTTCATGCATCTACACGATTTTGTACTTTCCCTTATATACTACACACATGGCGGCCCTTACACAGTAGTGTGTTACAAGACGAAGGATATCCAAACACAACTTGGAGAACAGCAGTGACGGGATGATACACTCTCTTATAGGTGTGACTTTTAGAGTCTTTCTTTCGGGTTTCAGTTCACATGACCCGAGGAGCCGTGTTAGCTTGTCATGACAGCGTTTGTCCACACGGCGTCGTGTGGCGTCCATCACGTATTAGGTGAATTCTTCTCAAGAATCCCCGAGCTCATGTTCACTTCTCGTGCCATAAACCATTGTGGAGACTCAGATGTGGGTTTACACAGATGACATTCCTAACCCTCAGGTGGCCCTCAGGTGGGGACCTTTTGGAGGAAAGTAAAGATAATCTTTTTTTTGTAATCTTAAAAACACAAACCAATTAACCAAATATGAAGATATATGGCCTGTTGGATTCCTAAGGTAAGGTGGATGAATTTCTCCCCCAGCTAGAGGTGGTATAGAGTGTAACCCTCGTTCGTACGTCTGAGACAAAGTAACTAGTCCAATTTCAGAGTGGCAACAGACACGTAACACATGACGTCCCCGGAGTAATGCGGCACTCACCGCCTGAGAGGATCATGGAATTTACATAAACCACGTTAGTGAGTTTAACTTGTTTTTTTTAGATTTTATTTACTGTATGTTAGCCCAGTTATTAATGGAACTATAATGCTCTGATTTTCGACAACTAAGACAATGAATGACATTAAAACGGACGATATGGCGAACAGTTTTACTTTAATAGAATTTCTGTGAACAACATCAGTGTATTAACTTTGGTGTAGATTCTATGTATATTTTTAGGTCCTGGTCTAAGGTGAAGGAAGTAAGTGTATATTGGGGAAAATATCATGTAATTAATAATGATCTCTGGCATTGGGCATCTTATTTAGGTTACTGTATACCTGCCTTTACACAGTTCAAACTTTTCATCATACAGAAATATTTACTTTTAAACTTTGGCATCATCAGCTACCTCCTTATACTTGCTATTACAACACCTGAACTTCATTCGAGACTAAGTCAACGAGGTGAGCAGTGTGAGAGGGTGTTCAGTGTGTGGGTGTTCAGTGCGTGGGTGTTCAGTGTGTGGTTCAGTTATAGTTGATGAACGTACCGCATCATATCGGTATTTATAATTTTCCTGGCCCTGCGAATGGTACACTTTCCTGGACTCTCTCTCTCTCTCTCTCTCTCTCTCTCTCTCTCTCTCTCTCTCTCTCTCTCTCTCTCTCTCTCTCTCTCTCTCTCTCTCTCGGCATGATACACCTTCACCAAGAATGATGATATATCACGCCGCGGTCCAGCATACCTCCATTATGGTGATCTATATATCACAGCTTTGTCCAGCTTCCTTCCATGGCTGTAAACGCTCTCCAGGTGTCATGATACATCACACCTGTGCTCTGTGTTTGGTAAGGCGTAAAGAGAACACTGCCTTCAACATCGTGTCTTCTGGACCCACATTTTTCAAACGCTTAAATATTAAATCTTATCCTCCCAACAGGTCATAAAAGAACGTTCACTTAAAGTTACGGTTTGTTGAATTTAAGGTGTGATCCCCTTAGCCATTTTAGGTCCATATCTTTGTCTCGTATCTAAAAGAAAGTCAGTTGCATTTGTTTTGTTTTCTTAAGTCCTCAGTTATCGGGAAAAGTTACGAATCTTTTAAGAATTTCTGAGCACTGTCTTGTATGGTTTAAACTCCCAAACTGTACAAGACTCACGGTAAGAGGGGCGACGTTAAGGCGTGATCAACTCTATGGATTTGATTGCCAAAAGTGACCCACTAAATCTACCCTAATCAGATCACCCCCTATTTTTGTTTTCCCTCACAGCCTTAAGAATTAGTAGCTTTAAGTGATATAATGCCGTCAACCCGTCACCATGTGGACCAGAGAACCGTCATGGATAGTTAGCGGTTATCAGCTGGGATTCCATCTCCTTTATCGGCTGCCTCCATCTGTTACCTGACTTAACTATTCCTGCCAAGTTTAGTGCCGCCTCAGGTAAAATAGATGAACGCGATATTCCGCATTGACTATTTGTTAAGGTCGTGCGTGTGGGTGGGTGTGGGTGGCTGCTGGTATAGTTATGTATATGTATGTGTGTGTGTGGGGGGGTGTGGGTGGATGCTAATATAGCTAGGTGTCTGTGGGTGGATATGTGTGTGTGTGTGTGTGTGTGTGTGTGTGTGTGTGTGTGTGTGTGTGTGTGTGTGTGTGTGTGTGTGTACTGTAAGTTAAACACTTCACACTCAGTAAAAACTGCCCCCCCCCTACACACACATACATAGGTGAGAGAAGTCCTCAGTGATGTTTGGGAGTAACTATAAGAAACAATTCAATAACTGTCGAGTACAAACTAATGTAAGTGACCAAAGACGAGTATAATGGTAACGACAGTGGTAATGGTGTGTGGTGGCGGTGATGATGGTGGTGTGGTGATGGTGGGGGAGTGGTGATAATGGGGGGGTGGTGGTGTGGGGTGGATGATGGTGGTGCTTGTGGTGGCGGCGGCTGCGGAGTTACAGTCAGCTTATATTCTGGGCTACTGCTGTACACTGGTGGCCTGAAGTTATATATGTGTGTGTGTGTGTAGTGGGGTGAGGAGCAGAAGAGCACCTGGAGGTAGACACACAGGTGATTAGTGTCCTGTAAATATTTATTGTGTTATATTACATGTTTGTGTACCTGTATGCCTTTTGTTTATTATGACGCTAACGTGTTCAGGTGTCCGGCGTGCGGTGCGTATGTCTGTTTTTCCATCGTTTGCTCATCCATCCATTCGTTCATAAAGAGTAACAGACACTTTGTATTTGAAGTATTTGGTATATTTGTAAGGTGTAGCGGCAGTGATGGTGTGAAGCCTTTTATTTAATGTTTTATAAGTTTGCTCAAGTAAGGAACCTGTATACCTTAACAATATAGTACTGTTGGTTATCATCAGTATGTCTCTGTGGTGTCCTCGGTCCTTCTGGGAGTCATAGCCGTGTAAGCCGAAATGAATCTAAATTATTTCCCTCAAGTGTTTTTTGTAAACTCAAACGCGTGAAAGTCCGGTACAGGTTCGTTGTGCAGAGGGTCAAGTACAGTACATCAGCTGTAATGAGGAAGACGAGACGTGTTTTTATTACCAGAGAAAACTGTGTATACTATTTACTTACCAAAAAACTCAAGCTCGAGTATAAACCAACAACGTCAAGATAAGCTATGAATTAATATCTCGTGGCGTACCTTTGGGCAAATCATTTGTGTTAGTTGAAAAAAAAAAAACACATTGCCAAGTTTTCAAAATACATGAGAGATACCAGAGGCCCACCGTCAGGAAAAAATTGAGTAAAGACGAGATGAACCCGGCCTGGGTAACTCGCCTTGCCATAAAAGTGGAGAACACAATGCAGCCCCCAATCACTGTGCCGGCGGGGAAGCTTCATAAAATTTCCCCCAATTGCTCCTCCTCATGTTGTAGAGTCAGTGTATATGTAGACATCAACAACCTGAAGAGGGAGGATTACCAGTCACACGGGTGAGTAAAGATGCAGTAAGTAAGGAAGTTGTTAGTGGCATCAGGGTAGTTTCACACATGTGCTGGGCGGCTTGTAACACAGTACTCCTTCACTCATTGTTTTGACAGTCCTTTACACCTGTGCTTTGGTCTTCATCATCCAAACTATTACCTTGAAGACCCTCACTTACACCACAGTCTACTCCTCTACTTGCACCACAGTCTACTCCTCCACCTGCACCACAGTCTACTCCTCCACCTGCACCACAGTCTACTCCTCCACCTGCACCACAATCAACTCCTCCACCTGCACCACAATCAACTCCTCCACCTGCACCACAGTCTACTCCTCCACCTGCACCACAATCAACTCCTCCACCTGCACCACAGTCTACTCCTCCACCTGCACCACAATCCTCCCTCCACTGCACTCCACCTGCACCACAATCCAACTCCTCCACCTGCACCACAGTCTACTCCTCCACCTGCACACAACAACTCACCTGCACTCCTCCACCTGCACCACAGTCTACTCCTCCACCTGCACCACAGTCTACTCCTCCACCTGTTAAAATATGCACATGACTTACTTCATCCCCCTCTCCTTTTCTTCCTTCCCCCCCCCCCTTCTCCTGGCCTCCACAAGACCCCACGGCCACCAGTCACTGTGCCAGGATTTTCAAAGCTTCGTGGATGATTTTTTTCCCTGTGTTTAGTCGGCCTGGTGCCCGTCCTTCCTATTATTATTGTTATTATTATTATTATTATTATTATTATTATTATTATTATTATTATTATTATTATTATTATTATTATTATGATTATGTTTATTATTGTGATTATGATTATTATTATTATTGCTGTGTGATCTCGTAATTAGATAGTGTCATGGTCAGATGCATTATTTTATCACACACGCACTGTACTGTAGATATATTATAAACTAAGTTAGATGAGAATATTTATTATTCATCTGTGGAATCCGATACATAGGGTGTTCAGTTCGATCTGTCTGTCTGTCTGCCCACGGCCAAACTCTAGAATGAAAACGGCAACAATATCCACACTTGGCATACAAGGTGATGACCTCTGGAAGTGACGTGTGCAGAGCCAAGAGGTCAAGGTCGTGGAACAATGATGAGGGGTGAAGTTTATATATATATATATATATATATATATATATATATATATATATATATATATATATATATATATATATATATATATATATATATATATATATATATATATATAATCGATCAAAGGAATTCAAGTGAATAAATTATCACATAATAATTTATCAATGAATATATATGTAATATATCACCAGTCGTATATATTAAATCACACATTTATAAATTTATGGTGTATTAATATATCAAAGTAAGTGATTTATTACACATTACAACTTGTCGCTCTGTATAGAAGAGTAGAGGGCGCTTGTGTGGACGATTTTTACACGAGATCAGCCAGGTGAATTACTGGCCCGTAAATATTTAGTTTGACGTGTTTACTGGCTGGGATATTGAATGTTAGCAGCTGCACCTATTGACAAAACCTTGTTAGCATAATGTGATAAATAACAACCCAAGAAAATTGTAATAATGTGATTGAAAGTGCTGTAAGGAGAACATCTATTATTGTTAATGTTGTTGATAGCTCCCCATCACACACTAGCCCCACCTCACACACTGACCCCACCTCACACCCTAACCCCACTTCACACACTAACCCCACCTCACACCCTAACCCCACCTCACACCCTAACCCCACCTCACACCTTAACCCCACCTCACACCCCACCTAACCCCACCTCACCTTAACCCCACCTCACACCCTAATAACCCACCTCACACACCCTAACCCCTCACCTAACCCCACACACCCTAACCCCACCTCACACCCTAGCCCCACCTCACACCTTAACCCCACCTCACACCTAACCCCACCTCACACCCTAACCCCACCTCACACCCTAACCCCACCTCACACCCTAACCTCACCTCACAACCTAACCCCACCTCACACACTAACCCCACCTCACACACTAACCCCACCTCACACACTAGCCCCACGGAATGAGTCACTTGAGGACTATACGTGAGAGGTGAGACGTGGTGAGGTGTTCTTGCCTGCGGTGAGTGTGTGTCAGGCAGGTGAGGAGGCCAGGTGTATCATTATGAGGGGTGACTCAGGTTCCCTCACACTTGTGCACTTAATGGAAAGTTAACACACACACACACACACACACACACACACACATACACATATTTGTGTCACTTATGTTACTTGTATATTATTTGTAATTCGTAACCCATTCCCCAAATATGTAACTGTATATTTTCAGCACACACACACACACACACACACACACACACACACACACACACACTCATTTACTGTTGTGTAAATTATAAGTGCCTTGTTAAATGGGTTCTTTTATGGTGCTCCTGTCCCACCTGTCATACACGACATCACCTGTCACTATACAACACCAGCACCACCTGTCACTATATACAACACACCAGCACCACTTGGGTCACTATACACCACATCACCTGTCACTATATACAACACACCAGCACCACCTATCACTATATACAACACACCAGCTCCACCTGTCACTATACACAACACACCACATCACCTGTCACTATACACCACATCACCTGTCACTATATACAACATACCAGCACCACCTATCACTATATACAACACACCAGCACCACCTGTCACTATACACAACACACCACATCACCTGTCACTATACACCACATCATCTGTCACTATACAACACACCAGCACCACCTGTTGTTGTTTTTGTTGTTGTTGTTGTTGTTGTTGTTGTTGTTGTTTTTGTTATTGTTTTTGTTGTTGTCGTCACTGTGGTCATTGGCCTCGAGGTACTGGTTAATATAGTCAGCTCAGAGCTTGTTCAGTTGTGCCTAATATGGTAACACCTTTGAACACCTATCACCTGCACTGTTTGCTCATTAGTGTTATTACAACTCTCTCTCTCTCTGTCTCTCTGTAAGTGAGTGATAGAGGGGCATAAGTTCCCTCTCACGGCCAGAGTCACTACACAAAACAGAGGTTATCAGAATGTTAATGAGCATATAACTAGAGGAACACCACCAGACCTTTAATGCTCCACCACCCTTCACCACTCACCATCACCACCATATTACCACCACTCACCCCTACCACCACCACTCACCATCACCCCTCACCACCATCCATCACCCCTCACCACCATCCATCACCTCTCACCCCCATTCACCATCACCGCTCACCACCATCCATCACCTCCACCATTTACCCCCCCTATCACATCTAACATCCCTTCCCCCCTTCCCCTACCCATCACCTGATAAAGCCTTCCCACTTCTTAATTGCCGTCCATAAACACTCGATAATGGCTCTGATAAAACACAACATCACTGAAAGGAGAAAAAAAATACACCTATGGTAATGGGTCGAGATTAGCATGAAAGAAGGTTTGTGAAATGACCTATAGAACGAAGAGATCTGGGTGGGCAGCGTGTGTCCTGCCGCCCTGTGCACTTCAGCTCCTTAATTGTGCTAAGTTAGATTGGTGAAAATGTGTATCACCTGAATATAAGACACCCCAGCTTATTTAAACACTCAAGCTTATTTGATGTTAAGGTTTGTCACCCCGCCTTATTACACCTGAAGGTTACACACCCCAGCTTATTTCACGTTAAGGTTATATACCCCAGCTTACACGTTAAGGTTACACACCCCAGTTTACACGTTAAGGTTACACACCCCAGTTTATTTCACGTTAAAGTTACATATCCCAGCTTATTTCACGTTAAGGTTACACACCCCAGCTTACTTCACGCTAAGGTTACATACTCCCAGCTTATTTCACGTTAAGGTTACACACCCCAGCTTATTTCACGTTAAGGTTACACACCCCAGCTTATTTCACGTTAAGGTTACACACCCCAGCTTATTTCACGTTAAGGTTACATACCCCACCTTATTTCACGTTAAGGTTACACACCCCAGCTTATTTCACGTTAAGGTTACATACCCCAGCTTATTTCACGTTAAGGTTACACACCCCAGCTTATTTCACCTGAAGATTATCCTCCTAACTTTAACCTATCCTAAGCTACTGTACGTACCTTAACCTAACCTAACTCTCCCCAGGTAGCGTTAGAGTAGTTAATCATCAGGTGAAATAATCGGAGGTGGCAAATCTTCAGGTGATCCGAAAATGTTAATACAACACTCGAGGTCTGGCTGGTAGGAATTCTCATCCGGAATGTGGATAGTAACTGCCTTGATAATAGTTGTTTTTATAGTTAAGTCTTGATAATCTGGGTATCTGGTTAGTAAAAGTCTTGATATTCTGGGTATCTGGTTAGTAGAAGTCTTAATAATCTGGGTATCTGGTTAGTAGAAGTCTTAATAATCTGGGTATCTGTTTAGTAAAAGTCTTGATAATCTGGGTATCTGGTTAGTAAAAGTCTTGATAATCTGGGTATTTGGTTAGTAGAAGTCTTAATAATCTGGGTATCTGTTTAGTAAAAGTCTTGATAATCTGGGTATCTGTTTAGTAAAAAGTCTTGATAATCTGGGTATCTGATTAGTAGAAGTTTTAAGTCTTAATATTCTAGGTATTATTTAAGTAGAAGTCTTAATAACCTGGGTATCTGGTTGGTAGTAGCCTTGATAATCTAGGTATGTGGCTAATTTAAACACCAATTGTATATAAACACTTATCTGGGAGGTGGAGGTGGTGGGGGTCCTTAGTTTACTCATGTTATGTGGATTTTACATCTAATTTTCATTATTCTTATCAACTCAAACACATTTACCAAGTTGATACATCTGTAGGCGAAACTATAACAGGTGATCAGTGTATTTAAAGTCCGTATTTGAAACCTGCACCAATGACACGGAAACCTCAACCGGTGATCATTGAGAATTTTGGCAGATAGGTTAGGTTAGGTTAGGTTAGGTTAGGTTAGGTTAGGTTAGGTTAAGGAGACGCGGTGGTTCATGAAGGAGTGGGAAGATAGTGAGGAACACATCTCCGACCATACATAGAAACTCATTTATTTGACTTGTGTTTAAAGGAGCTCTATTTATGTACCTTCTCACTTTGCAGGTTTTCTAATGTGTTGTAAACGATTTTTAAAGCATAGTTACCGCTGCGGACTATAAATAAATGGTTGGTGTGTTTATGTGTGGTTTAGCTGGTGACAAAACAGAGGGTGATGATGTGAGCTGCTTCAGATATCTGGGAGTGGTTATGTCAGTGTGTAAATAATGTGAGTGGGAGCAGTATGATGGGTGAATAGGATGTGAAGAATAACTATTAGGTATCTGGTTGGTAATTATGGAGGAACCGGTATTTTTAACCGCCACCTCCCTCCTGACCGTTAGTTCAGTGTGATACAAGTTTATTACAAGTTCTCAGATGATGACCGATAATTGGTTTAAGGTCATAGTTAATTATAGGGAAGTTGTCAGTGAGGCTTCATTCATGTGTCTGTCACATACTGTTCAGTCACTCCAAAAAATTATCTATACAAAATTGTGTTGAAAAA